TATATATATATATATATATATATATATACATATATATATATATATATGTGTGTGTGTGTGTGTGTTTGTATGTATGTATGTATGTATATAACCTATACATCTTCTCATGTAGTTTAAATCATCTCAACATTATTTATAGTACTGCCTGTAACACAAACAGTTGTTACACTCTTTAGGAAGTCGTCAAAGGAAACATCTGCATATGTTCAATATATTCAGCATAATACAGTCCCTTCCCTTCCCTATATTTATTTATCCTCTCCAGGGTCTCACTATATATTCTTGCTTGGCCTGGAACTCACCATGTAGGCTAGCCTGACATTGAACTCACAGAAATCCACCTGCCTTTGCCTCTGGAGTGCTAGGATTAAAGGTGTGCACCACCATGGCTGGCTCTCAATTTGTTTTCTTTCAGGCAGATTGGTTAAGGTCCGGAGGCGGGAGGGGGAGCCGGGTTGCGGGGGGGGGGGGGGGGAGAGAAAACCTGTGTAAAAGCCTTAAAGAGAAAAGGAACCTAATTAAAACAGGACATCTGGGCATGCTTGTCCTGGGACAGTTGAAGCAAAGAGAGCACTTGTAAAAGAGGAATAGAGTCAAAGAAGCGTAAAATGGGTAAGCTTTTCTTCCTAAATCTGCACTGGCTGAGGCAGCAACCAAGTAGTGGAAAGCAATCAGCGGATGCAAATAGAAAGCTGGAGAAGGAAGCGCCTTCACAGATCAGCAGGTCCAACCCCCTCTCCGTGTACGTGAAGAAACCTACTCAGCAAGGGACTTTTCTAACAGCGAATACTACAAGTTTCCTACTCGGAATAAAACTCTTTTCTTTAAGGGTTCCTCAAACGTATCCTGTGCATTCCTAACACTGCTGGTTCTGATTTAGCGCAGGGGAGTTGCTGGAGACTTCACTTTCCTTCTTGCCCTAGGCATTAGAATGGTGGTAGGGTTTGAAAGCCAGTCTCAGAAGGACTAATTTCTGGTTAAAATGATTTGATTTCACCAAAGTTTACATTCAATTGCTGCGTGGTTATGAAAACAAACTATAGATCACACATGCTCAGAGCGCCATCTGATGGTGAGACGGTGGCACGACAAGTCATCCTTTCTTTGGAAAATATTCTGGCTGAAACAGGCACTGTGGAAAAATGGGGTAATTTTAAAAGAAGAAATCGCTTCAAAAACGAACTAGAACATAGAGTAAAAAGAAAATTTTATTAAGAGGATCTAAGAGAAAACTGTTTTCTGTCAGAGATGCAGTCTTAGTTTGCATAAATACACAGAAAAATGAAAGTAAAGATGAAAGTAGTTGAGATTTTAAATGTGTTCAATAAAGAAACTGACAATTTTTCTTACTTGTGTACATTTCTTTGTTTCTTTACTTTGAATCATAGTAATGTACCTCTGGCTACCCTGCAACTTGCAATATGTACATCAGGCTGGCCCTAAACTTTCTGCCTTTGCCTTCTGATAGTAAGCATTGCAAATATGGACCATTTACCTAGATTTTTGTGGATATATATAGTCAAAAAATGTTTCATCTATTTATTTTATTTTTTTTATAACTGTAGCATGATAGCCACAACTTCAGGGCAAACCTCAATGCTAAAAACACACTTACCCACAATACTCCAAGAAATACCTGTGTTTTCACACAACTGCCTTTCAAGAATTACTAAGAAATTTTTAGTAACAAGGAAGAAAATGCTAGGGAAGGAATCAGGAGAT